TGTGTGTGTGTGTGTGTGTGTGAGAGTGAGAGAGAATGTGTGTGTGTGTCAGTGAGTGCACGCGTGTGTGTGAGCGAGAGAGTGCGTGAGAGCGAGAGAGTGCGTGTGTGTGTGTCAGTGAGCGCGCGCGTGTATGTCGGTGTGTGTGTATGTCTGTCTGTGAGCAGAAGCTGGCCCCTCTGTACCCCGCCCCGCAGCGAGGGGTTGTTGAGGGGTGTTTGGTTGAGGGGGAGGGGGTGGATTGGGTGGTATGTAAGGAGTTGACCTCAGTACCTTTACTCCGGTCAGCATGCCCGTGGTGGAGATACTGAAGTCTAGGTACGCCAGCATCTCGGGGGTGGGTGGTTTGTACACACTGGGCGGCTTCTTCCTCGACAAGTCATCTGCAAAAGGCGAGGGGGGTTAGGGTTTTAAATCAAACACCGGGAATCGTCTCCACACAGATCCAAGGGAGTGGGTGGGTGGGTGGGGGGGCCGGTGCAGAGGATCGGGGCTCCCCACCCACCCACCAAAAGGCCAGCGAGTCAAGACTTGTGCCCATTCGTTAAAGAGGCCCAGCATTTATGGCCCCCGTCCCTAATTGCCCAGGGAGCGCAGCTCAGGGTCAACCAGGTTGCTTTGTGGGTCTGGAGTCACGTGCAAATGGCTCAAACCCAGGTTAAGGATGGCAGTTTCCTTCCCCGAAGGACACGAGTGAACCCGATGGGGGTTTTCCCCTCCCCCGACAGTCGGGAACGGGTCCCACGGTCATCGTTAGACCCTCAGTTCCGGATTCATTTTCTAAATTGAATTCAAACCCCACCGCCTGCCCTGGCGGGATTCGAACCCGAGTCCCCCAGGGCGTTTACCTGGGTCTCTGGGTCAACAGAGCAGCGGTAATACCGCCAGGCTGTCGCCTCAGCGGGGGACGGACGGAGCTAACCGCATCGTTGTTGGGAGGTTTTTGCTTAAAACCGTCACCAGGCCCCGGCCCCGGCCGGGACGCCGCTTACGGTTCGGGGAGGTGGGGGGGGGCCCCGTATCCAAGCAGAGACAGACCGCAGTGGGGAGGCAGCCCGGAGAAGGGTTCGCTCGGCCGATCCCGGGGTGGGGTGCGACAGAGGGACTGCCTCGTGAGGGTGGGGGGGGAAAGGGGTGTTGAGTAGGTCGGGGGAGCCTGTACCCGTTGGGAGTTTAGAGGAATGAGGGGCGACCTTATTGAAAGATACGATGAGTCACGGTGTTGGGGGGTGGAGATGTGGAGAGGCTGTCCCCATCCCCACCACCTTGTGGGAGAGTCTAGGACCAGAGGGTGTCATCTCAGAATAATGGGGGGGGTGTGGGGTCGCCCATTGAAGACGGAGATGGGGAGGAATTTCTTCTCTCCTGGGGGTTTGGGGAGGTGGGGTAGTGAATCTGTGGAATTCTTCACCGCGGGGCGAGGTGGGGGGGGGGGGGGGGTGGGGCGCTCAGGGTATTCGAGGCTGGGGTTTTTGGTGAGGAAAGGAGGGGGGGGGATCGAGGGGAAAAGGCAGGAGGAGGGTGGGAGCTGAGGTTGATTGGATCTCATTGAACAGCGGAGCAGTATCGATGGGCTGAATGGCCTAATTCTGCTCCTACACCTCGCGATCGTTACTGGAGAATGCACACAATTACAAAGAGAACCCAGAGAGACAGCACGAGAGAGAGAGAGAGAGAGAGACAGCGAGAGAGAGAGAGAGAGAGAGAGAGA